GTGTGTTTGCAGGGCAGGTGTCTGGCTCGTACGTGCATTTCTCGGGGAGTGTGAGTGTTCCAGGGTGAGCACCTGCCTCCGTGCTTAGGCGGGTCCGGGGTGCCGTGTGTGCCTTGCGGGGCGCCTGTCTCTCACTGTGTTTCTGCTTGCTTGTGGGGCGGGTGTGCTTCTAGGTGGTCTGTCTGTGTTTCTGGCTGTCAGAGGGTGTGTCTGTGTTTTGTAGCATCTGTCTCAGTACCCAGTTGGCTCTGGTGGAGCCTGTGTATGTGGCAGGTTGTGTGTAAGTCACCGTGTTCCTGTGTGTCTGGCAGCATGCGTGTGAGCGCTTTGCAGGATGAGGTGCGTTTCTGGGCGTGGGATGGGGTGCAGGGTGCATATCTGAGTCCATGTGTCTGTGTGCGGTGGCGTGTGCATGTGTGTAGCGGGGGATGTGTTTGGTCAGAGTGTCACGATGCGTTTGTCTCACGCTTCCGTGTCTCTGGCGAAGGCTGTGTGTTTGCAGGATGAAGGTTTGTCTCTTTTTTCAGTGTGTCATGGACTGTGTGTGTGTATGTTGCAGGCAATGTGTCTGTCTTGGTGTCTCAGTGTGTCAGGTGATGAATATGTGTGTTTGGTATGAAATGTGTCTGTTTCTGACTGTGGCGAAGTGCATGTGTGTTGCATGGTTGTGTCTGTCTCGTGTGGTTTCTTTGTGGCCCACAGTGTGTGCGTTGCAGCGTGTGTCTGTGTTGCTGTTTGTGTGTGTGGTGGTACATGTGGTGGCCTGCAGTCCCGTTTTCCATTTCCGTGTGTCTGCTGGGTTTTGTGTGTGTGCCGCAGGGGGAGTGTCCTCCACACGACTATTGGCTGCAGGCGTCTGTGTGTTGCGGGGTGTGTCTTGGTGTTTCCGAGCGGTGGGCTGCATGTTTGCGTTGGAGAGTGGGTGTTGTGGGTGTGTGTCTGGGGGAGTGTGTGTGTATTGGCAGTGAGTGTGTTCCTTTGGGTGCAGCTGTATGTGTGGGTATATGTTGCAGATTGTGTATCTGCCTGTGTCTCTGGGGTTCTGGTGGTGTGGTGTGTGTGTGAAGGAGTTTGAGGGAGGGTGTGTGTTGGTGTTTCCGTGTGTCCAGCCGTGCAAGTGTCTGCTGGCCTGGCAACGTGCGTGTGTGTGGCCCGGCCTCTCTGTGTGACGCGGGCCGTGTCCCGCTTGAAGCAGACTGGGCCTGGTCCACACATTCCTTCTGCTCTTTTGTGCTCTGTGCTACAGAAAATATTTGCGTTTTCCACGACTCATAATTTTTCCTCAATTGCTACCAGATGTGGGCCCTGTGGTCCCCGTCCCCATGGCAACGGAAGTTCCAGCAGCCGCGGTTCCCTTTTGTGGCGCCTGCCCTGGGAGCTGGCACTGCTGTGAGCCCTGAGGGTGTGGGGAGGAGCGGGTGGTGGGAGGCCTGGGGGGGGGTTGGGGGGGGAGGGGAAGGTTGTCCCAGCTGCTCCCTCCCTGGTGGCCACCGGGGCCCTCCAGGAGGGTAGGACAAGTGCAGGGGCTGGCTGCTGGAATGAGGGGTCCCTGCTCTGTGCGGCACCCACAGGTCAAGTCTCGACCACCTGGGGGAGCTCCCAGGGCAGGGGGAGGAGAGGCAGCAGGAAAGGCCTGGTCACTGAGAGCCCTGGTGTCCCCAATTGTGCTGGCCCAGGCTTCGAGAAGAGCCAAGGGTTGGGCGGTCAGGAAGCAGCAGTGTGGTGGACTGATGGTCCCAGGGGCTGGTGGCACAGCCTAGGCAGGAGTGTGGCCTGAACCACTGCATTGCCCACCCCTGCCCCCACCCAGTCACTGCCCTGCCCTCTCTCAGCCCAGTGGGGCATCTGCCCCTCCTGCCGACTTTGAGCCTGTGTTCTCAACCCCAGCAGCCAGCATGGCGTGCTGCCCGAGTGGAACGGACGATGGCCAGCTGCACGGCCACTGCTGGGAGGATGCCCAGCTGGCCCTAGGGAAGCAGCATGGCCCAGAGACAGGCAGCCTGCATTACACGTGCTGCCCGACCAGGCCTGGCGCAGGAACTGTGTCCCTGCCAGCTGTTCCGGTTGGCCTATCCGGGGCAGAAGGCCATCTGCACTCAGGTAGCTGAGCCCTTGTATGGGTGACCAATGTTGACTTCAGTGGGGTATCCAGCCAGAGGACAGGAGCGTTGCCAGGATGAGATCCCTGGGCTGCCAGCGTTCGTCAGATGACAGTGCCAGGCTGTGGGCTGCCAGGTGATCAGAGGCTCTTGGCAGCAGCATCGGGAGACTTTGAGCTGGGCATCAGGAGACGCGGGAGAATGGGAAGAGGCCCGCTGGGCAGAGGCAGGAGGTGGGAGGAGCCCAGACAGTGGAGCTGTTGGAACTTAGCTGGGGGGAATGTCAGAGCCATGGAAAGGTGAGGGTCTGTGGCTTAAGAAGGCCATTTAGGAGGCCTGCCCAAGGGGGCCAGGCATGGTGAAGGCCCTGGGGACAAATGGTCACAGATAGCAGGCCAGGCAGCAGGGGCTGGCTTGGGGCAGGGGCTCTGGGCCAGGCAGGCTCCCTGCTCTCCTTCAACCTCCTGCAGCGGCAGGGAAGGCGGGTGAGGAGTTTCCGGCTGAGGACAAGGAGCCCATTGAGGCAGACAGCAGGGCTCTGTGCAGCAGCAGACCGTCTTGTTTGTGCAGCAGGAGGCAGTGCCTTTGGCCCCCTGCCCCCAGCCCCTACCCACCCCCCCAGCACCCTCAACAGCTCTGAGCCCCAAGTTAACAGCAGGAGCCCAGCAGGAGCCAGTGGGGAAGGCACAGATCAGAGGCCAAGCCCCCACGCCCCTCCCAGCCAAGGGCTTCCACCAGGTCTGGGCTGACCCACCCTTCCTGAGTGACCCGTCCAGGATGGGGCGGGCCAGGGCGGGGCTGGAGGGGCCTAAACTTGGTGAGTGAGCGAGGACAGGTGGATGCAGCCCTATTTCAGCGTGATCCTGAGAGACTCACACCTGGACTCCAAGGACCCAGGACCCAGGTTCTGCGGGTGTGAGTGCAGGCCCGACAAGGTCACCAGCAGTTTCTTTGAGGGGATCTTTGCCCACAGCCAGCAGACAGGAAGTAATAGGATCGCAGGGAGGGAAAAAGGCACTTTATTAAGAAAGCTTTGGCCAAGCCCCTGCATGGAGGAACCCACCCTGGGGCACCGGGCAGGGCGGAGCAGCCCTACGGGGCCATAAATACATCTCCTCAGGCCACCTGAGCTGCCCCTGGGGTCCCTACGCGTGCAGGGCGGCGGGAGGCCATCAAAACCGGCTCGACAGCTGAAGGGCTGGGGCTGGGGCGCCAGGGAAGGGAAGGGGTGGATGGACCGAGCCCCCGAAGAGCAGAGACCAGCCCTCCTCCCCGGGCTCGGGTCAGCCAGATGCCCTGGAGCCCGGCCGGTGGAAGGAGCCTTGGGTTCCTAGCTGAAGCAGAGGAAGGCGCCTCCGGCTAGCGGCGCCAGGCCCTGGCTAATGAGAAGCAGCCAGGGCAGAAGCGCACCTGGCCTCAGCCAATGAGAACGCAGCCCCGACCAAGTGCACGCGTGGCCCTAAGAGGCGGTCTCTAGGCAGAACCTCCCGTCCTTGGCCAATGAGACGCGGGCTGGTCTGGGCGCTCCGTGACTCGGCCAATGGGAAGCAGGGAGTCGCCGGCCAAACGCCTGTCAGGCTTCGACCACCGGGGCGCGCCTTCCCGCCAGAGCGCGCGACTCCAACCAGGCGGTGACTGCGCGGCCTGAGTCAATGAGACGCAGCCCCGGCGGCCTAGGCGCGGGGCTGGGGCGAGCGGCGCTGCGAAGCCGGGGAAGCGGCGGGGGCGCCGCGGGCTACAGGGTGGGCGCGCCCGCCCTGCCCGGCTCGCCTGCCGCCTCCCGGCTCTTCTTGCGCGGCGGCTTCTGGATGGGGGTCTTCTTCCGGGGGGTGTCCGGCGCGGGCGAGCCGGTCGCCGCCTTGTCGAGCCCCGGAGCCTCGGGCGCGGGGGACGCGCGGGCGGGCGAGGAGGGCGGCACCGAGCGCTTGGCCTTCTGCGGCGGCGCGGGCTTCTCCCGCGGGCCCTCGGCGCGGCCCAGGCTGCGAGTCTTGCCGCGCAGCTCCGCGGCCAGCAGGGAGGCGGCCTCGGGCGCGCTGCGCAGGGGACCGCCGGCGTCCATGGGCTCGGAGAGGCCGGGGCCGCGGCCCCGAGCTCGGGCCCGGGGCGGCGAGGGCGCGGCAAGGGCCGTCGCCTCCTCGGCCAGCCCCGGGGGCCGCGGCGTCGGGTCGCGGGTTCGGGGACTGCCAGGCTCGTCTGGCCGCGCCGACGTGTCGCTGGGCGTCCGTTTCCTCTTGCTGGGGCTGGGCGCGGCCTCGGGGCCGGGGGGCAGTGGCGAGGGCGCTCGGGCCGCGGCAGCGGCTCCGTGCTTGCCATGGATCCAGGACACCTTGGGCTTGGTGGCGGGGTCGGGCGGCGGCGGCTTCCTGCGCTCTGGCGATGGCGACAGAGACAGGCCCCCAGCCTCTCCCCGGGCCCGGGCCGGCCGGGCCTCGCGCCGGGCTACCCGCGCGTACAGAGCCCCGCCGGGCCCCTCCACGCTGGACGCCGACCGCTCGCTGTCTGAGGACGCGGGAAGGGGCGTCGCGTCCTCGGCGGACGCTGCTGTGGTCAGGTGCGCGGGGGACAGCGCCGGCGCCTCCGCCTCGGCAGGGACGGTGGGGGCCTTCGGATCCTGGCTCTCCGCTACTGCCTCTGCCGAGGGAAGAGCGGGCGGTCAGGGCCCCTGGGAGCAGCTCCAACAGGTCCAACCTCCAGGTGCAAACCTTCACCTCCCCTCCTACCCTCACCCCGCTGGCCCTGTGCCGCTTTGGCGTCCAGACGTGCCCGGTGCATCCAGAGCACCGACCACAGCTTAGTTCAGAGCCCAGGGCGTGCGGGCGCGTTCCTGGGACAAAGCCCAGCCCTCGCCTGGCCCGCACCCCTTCCTCCACCAGGCCCCCAGCCTCAGGAACCGCCATCATCACTTTTGACGCTGCAGCACCCCCGCGGGGATTCCGCGATCCCTTCAGAGGCAAGGCTTCTGAGGCTCAGAGATTAGTCACCTGCCCAAGGTCATCCAGGGGGATGGTCAAGGAAGGAGAGATCAGCATCCCAGCGGTCAGGGTCAGGGTCCCTTCCACTACCCCTGGGTCCAAGGCTGAGGTGACAGTACATCCCAGGCCCTGCAGATCCCCTCCTCCTGTCTCCTCTGCCACCCTCCATCCAGGCCCAGAACCTCTGTCTCCCTGGTTTTTCCCAGAAGTGACCTTGGGCTTTGGCTAGTGACAGGAGAGCCCATCTCCCCACACCCCACTCCAGTGCTGAACAGCACAGAACCCAGGTCTGCAGCCTCAGCTACTGAGCAACCTACAGGTAGCAGTGTTGCCATGCCCTTCCTCCCCACGTGCCCCAAGGCACAGAGATCTTTAAAGCAGGAACATGTCCCTGGACTGGAGCCATGCCCAAGCAGGGCCATACTCACCCTCATGGGGTACACAGTACACGGGGCCTTCATCGGTGGTGTCAAAGGAGGAGAAGGAAGCCCGGGAGGACCAGGATGGTGAGGGCTGCTCCAACCCTGAGGGTGGCTCCAGGAAGCTACAGTTGAGCGTGTTATCCAGGTCATGATGGGCCACTGGGGAAGGAGTGAGGCAGAGCTGCCGGGACCATGCCTTGCCCCAGCCCCTGCCCTCAGGAGCCCTGCTGCCATGAATGTTAAGGGAGTGATCAAGCCCAGCCCTACCCTAAGACTGCGAGTGAGACAGGCAATTCAACAGGTGGAGTGGCACCGGGCCAGGACTGGAGTACGGGTGGAGGTGAACCCAGTAAAGAAGAAGAAGAGGGAACAATGTGTGTAAAGGCACAAAGCAAGCTTGTGCAGCCAGGGAGCTGAAAAAGCGGGGCTGAAGAGAAAAGATCAGAAAGGTGGGAGACGGGGCTGGAGAGAAAAGTGCTCCAAGGCCTTGAAGCCATGCATACTTCAGACCTTGCTTTGTGGGACCCAGGGAACCTTGGAACACTTTCGGGCCCAAATGTGCAGTGGCAAGGCTGCCCTTTGGCTCAGCGAATCTCTGTGGGTTGTACCCCCACAGCCCTGGACTCCAGAGATACAGACTCCACAATGGGGGATCCCAGAAGCTGGCTGGCCTGGCCCCCATTCCACAGTTGGGATGTGGGGTCCAGCCCCCACACCTGTGTCCATAGATGCTGTGCTGCTGGGTGGGCCAACAGGTCTTCTCAGCTGTGTCCTTAGCTCCCAAGAGTCTGAGTCCCCTCCCCGCCATCATCAGAAATAAATGGAAAACAGAGGGAGAGAGGGTCTGCCCCAGGTGTGAGTCAGCAGAAAGGGGAGCAGCACACCGCGCTTGGTAGGGCGGGGTGACTGCGGGACCAGCTTGCCCTGGGCTCAGGAACTGCTGGGGATGCAGGCAGGAGGGCGGCTCTTCTCCCTGAGGCGGGGCACTTCCATGCACACGGGCCACCCATTCCCCTGCAGCTCCTACAGACTAGGGTTGGGGCTGCCCGGCCCATATGTCCACCCCACACGCAGTCATTCATAGGCCCCAACGCTTCCCACACACGCCCCACACTTGCCTGCACACCTAGAACTCCTGCCTTCCTCCCTGGCCCCACCCACAGCAGCATCCCCTGTCCTTCCCTCTAGTCGCACCTCCCCGCACCAACTCACATCAACACTCAGATAATGTCCCACCCCGCTCCCGCCCCGCTTCCTTTTCTTTCTATTTTAGAAACAGGATCTCGCTATGTTGTCCAGCATGGTCTCAAACTGCTGGGCTGGAGCGATCCTCCCGCCTCAGCCTCCTGAGCAGCTGGGACTACAAACGCGAGCCACCGTGCCCAACTTAAGGGTCTCCGTGTCTACACCAAGACCTGGACCCCTGCACACCCGTTTCCCAGCAGCTTCCTGCGTCGGGAGGTGTTTCCCCCAGAGACCCCGCCCGTCATCGCCCTTACCTACGACTTTGGGCAGTTTCTGCCTGCGGAGCGGGATCCGGGGCAACTTCATGCTGATGCGACTGAAACGCCCGCACAGTCGCTGCGGCGCCTTCTTCCTCCCCAGCGACAGCTCCCTACGGGGGCGGGGCCTGAGCGAGGAGCGGGGCGGGGGCGGCCCGATCTCCGCGGGAGCCAAATGGAGGGGCGGGGCCTGAGCCGGGAGGGGCGCGGTCTGGGCCGGGGGAAGGGGGAGGGCGGCGCCCGCGAGCGGGGGCGGCCCGGACCGCGGAGGGAGGGGGCGGTGTCGGGCCTCACCGGCGCGCGGGGTCCTGGCCGCGGCACGCGCAGCAGCAGCCAAGCAGCGAGAGCAGCAGGCCGAGGAGCAGGGCGAGCAGCGCGCCCGCGCCCATCACGCCCTTGCGCTGGTTGGTCTCTGTGGGGGGCACCAGGTCAGCGCGGGTGTTCGCGCCCCGGCATTCCCAGACGGACCGCCTCCCACCACTCACCCAGGCGGCAGGCGCCGGTGACCGGGTCGCACGAGTCCTCGTGGCAGCTGCAGGCCTGGGCGCAGTCCACGCCGTGGAGCCCGGGAGGGCACGTCACGTTGCAGCTGTGGGGGCGCGGGGTCAGGCGGGCCAAAGCCCCTCGGGGACGCCCCCTGCTGCCACCCGGCTCCCGCGGCCAGCCGGCGCGGTCCCGGTCTCGGAGCTGGGCTCCCTAGCCCTGTTCTCTAAGGACCGCGGCCCACCCGGACCCGTGGGCCCGCGCCGGGTGGCCAGTGTTTTGGAGATCAACGTGGGCACCCCCTGCGGGGATGGGGGTGGGGGATGGGGCGGCGGTTACGGCCGCAGCGTCGTTTCTAGGGCTGAGTCTTGTGCGGGTAGGAAGACAGGCTACCGGACCAGGCCTTTGGCTATAAGTGGGGGGGTCCTTGCTCCTTCTACACCACCTCGGGGTCCCCTCAGGAGCCCGCCGACCACAGGCTGCGCGCATCGGCTCCAACACCGGGGCAGGAAACTACCTCAAAGAGCCTGCTGTCACTCCCTGGCTGGAGTGACGGCCCCACCCGGGGTGGGGAGGACCGTCTGGGTCCCACCTCCTCAGCCCCTGGGGTCTGGCTGGAGCCCCCTGTGTCGGGACATCTCGCCGCCAAGCCCCTCCGGTCCCGGGGTGCTCACTGGGGCCCGTGGACGCCGGGGCTGCACAGGCAGCGCCCCGACTGGAAGTCGCAGTGGCCGCTGCCACAGTCGGCACACATGAAGGCGCAGTCCTCGCCGTAGGTTCCGTTGCTGCACTTGGTCTCGCACCTTGGAACGAGGGGAGGGGTGTCAGCAGAAATAGAGGCAAACGGACCCAAAGGATGAGGCGTCCCCCGCGGAGGGCTTTCGTGCGGGAGGCAGGCCGGGGGCTGCGTGTCTGGGCCGATGCAGGCACCGCTGCTCACCGGTCGCCGATCCAGCCCGCGTTGCAGCGCGTACACTTGCCGGTGACGTGGTTGCAGGCGTGCCCATCGCGGCACGGCGGGCAGCGGTGGCTGCAGCCCTCGCCGTAGAAGCCCGTGGCGCACGGCTGGTCGCACTTGGTTCCGTTCCAGCCGGGCTCGCACGTCAGGCAGCGGCCCTCGGCCACCGTGCACGGCTGCTGGCCCTTACACTGGCCGCACCTGGGGAAGAGGCCGCGGCTAGGCGGGGCGGGGACCGGCCCCACCCCCGTCCCATCCGCGGCCGGGGTCCGCGCTTACCGGCGGCGACAGCCCAAGCCGTAGAAGCCGGCGGGGCACGGCTCGCGACAGTACTTGCCGCGGTAGCCCGGCTCGCAGGCGCACGTGCCGTCCAGCGGGTGGCAGCGGCCGCGGAAGCACTGGCAGTAGCGATCGCAGCGTGCGCCGAACGTGCGCTCGCGGCACTGGCAGCGGCCGCTCTGCTGCTCGCAGGGCGACGAGTTGCAGGCGCACTGATTGTTGCAGCTGCGGCCCCACCAGCCTGCGTGGCACAAGCAGGCTCCGGTCTGTGGGTCGCAGCGCGACGTGGCGCTGCAGTAGCATGCGCTGGCGCACTGCGCGCCCCACCAGCCGGGCTCGCAGCGGCACGCGCCACTGCGAGGGTGGCACGCGCCGTGCTGGCATTGGCACGCGTGCTCGCAACGCGCGCCCCAGCGCCGCGCGTGACAAGTACACTGGCCCGTCACATCCTCGCATTGCCCGTGTGGGTGGCAGCTACACAGCTCCTTGCAGTCAGGGCCCCAGAACTGGCGCGGGCACTCTGCGGGGACGAGCAGAGGAGGTGGATGGCCCCGGTGCTTGCGTGAATGCCCGGGCCTAGCCAACCGGAACCTGCCCCGGGTCCCCGGCTCCCGCCCCCGCTTGGGGACGCGCCCCCAAGCCGTATCCGACCCCGCCCCACCCCGGACCCCGCCCCCCTGCTCAGGCCCCGCCCCCCCGGAGCTCACTGGTGTCGCAGTTGGCACCGAAGTAGCCGTGGCGGCAGCGGCACTCGCTGGGCCGCACGCACACCTCGTTCTCCGAGCACGTGGAGTTGCCTTCGCACACCGCTGTGGACGAGACAAGCCTGAGCTGCCGCACGTCCTAGCCCCGCCTCTGCCCCCTGCCCAGGTCCCCGGGGTGCCCCACTCACCGATCCCACACTCATCCCCTTGCTGCCTCCAGCCGGCGCAGCACGTGGGCACCTGGGAGCTGGAGCAGAGGGAGGACCACTGAGCCTGCCGTCTGTCCCTCAGCCCCATCCGCCCCAGGGTTCCGCGGCAGCCTCCCGGCCTCTCCCGTCGCGGTCTGCCCCTAGCGAGGAGGTTACCGAGGCCCTGCCAGCCACTGCTGTAGGTGCGGAGACTCCCAGTGAACAAGGAAGACACAAATTCCAGCCCTGGGGAGCCGACGCCTTCACCCCTCCGCGTCCTGCCTAACTCCTCTCCCACAGCCACTAGGCCTGAGAAGAGGCCCTGTGTCCAAGGAGGGGCTGCAGTGAGCTGGGGGCTGGGGAGAGGACCCTGGGCCTCCAGGACCTGCTCAAATGTGGGTGTCTAGGGGGTTCCCTGGGAAGGGGGGCCCGGCCAGATGGGTGTCAGGGATCCTGATGTGATATGACTGGGACAGCACCAGGACTGGCTGGGCCAGAGGGACACACCTGGATGCCCAGTTGGGGCTAAGCAGGAGGGTAGAGGGGCATCCTCTGGGGGGGATGGGTTGTGCACAGAGGTGACCACTTGGCAGAGGGGCTTCTGGAGGGAGGCGGGGAGGAGCGGGCACATGCGGAGTCCTCCACGTGCGAAAGGAAAGTCCCCTGTGAGGCTCCAGAGCACCAGGGCAGGAGTTGGGTGGAGGAAGGAGATACCAAGGCTTCTACTTATGCTTATTGTTTTACTCTTGTTTTATTTTATTCAGCTTTACAAAGTATGTGATGTCACCTCAGCATAAAGTAATTTCTAACTGTAGCACTTCGGAGTGGTGCAGCCTCTAAAGTTCTGGGTGGATGGGGGGTGTGGGCACAAAGTTTTGGGGGCCCTGCCTGAGTGGAGCCAGAATGGCTAGAGGGGTGCTCAGGGGCTAAGCTGGGGTGAGCCCACACTCAGGGGCCAGAGGAGGCTGAGAAGGAACAGCCACTGAGGCTGTAGGATTCTAGAGTCCCATCAGACTCAAAAGAACTTCACCTCAATCCTAAAGGCATGTGGCAGCCATTCACACTTTAGAGAAAAGGAGAAAAGGTGTGCATCAGAAGGATCTGAATCTAAAAGTAGGATGTGGTGGTGGGAGGAGTCTGGGGGGACCTGAAGACCCTGGGGGGTGGGAAAGACTGGGAAGGGAAAGGCTGCAGCTGTCCCACCATGCCCTGCACACTCCTGCCTGGACTGCAGAAGATGCCCCAACCATTCCCAGCTCGATGATCCCCACACCCTGGATGGGGCACCGAGGCCCCCAAGGGAGGCTCCTCCTCCCTCACCGAAAGGACTTGGTTCTCCCTCAGGCCACGGATGGGACCCGAACAGGACCGTAAAATCCCAAACTTCGAGGAATAGGTCCAGTGTATTTTCCGCTAATAAAACTGGAAACTGGAGGCAGGAATACAAGGCAGGCCTGGCTTTTCCTGTCCCCCGCATTGTCCCCAGCCACCCAGCCCTGACCTAGGGGTTCGAAGGAACCCACCAGCAGGGAGACCCAAGTCTGCTAGCCCATCACCCTCCCATCTGTGCCTGGTTCTGAACCCTGGTCTCTGGATGGACAGCCTCTGCTGGTGTCCCTCCTACAGGCAGTCTTGCCAGATGGGATGGTCCTGGAGACACTGACCCCCTTCTGCCCTGGATGACCTGGCCACATGACTCTGTGGCTAGGAGCCTGGTCTTAAGGCCATACTCAGCTGGGTTTGATGACTGGGTCTGCACTTGCTGTGTGACTTCAGGCATGGAGCTTAACCTCTCTGAGCTTCAGGCTCCTTAGCTATACAAGGGGGCCCATGGGTTTCGCAGGATTAAGAGAGCCAAGATGTGTGAAGTGTTTGCACACACCAAGAGCTCAGACATGGCTTTGGTTTAAGTCAGTCTGCCCTCTAGCCCGTGCTGAACCCGGAAATTCTGGGAGCAGTTTCCAGGGAGCCGGACTCTACCTGGTCATCCCAGCACAGCGGGCGCCAGGCCTCACCCCAGCAGAGCGAACACCCACTGGCAGGGCAGAGCCCATGTGGGTTCACCGAGAACAAGAAGCTTTCCTTCTTGGAAGTGCTGGCAGACAAGGCCAGGCTGGTGTGGCAAGGCCACCCTTGGAGATCTCATGAAGGTGGGTGGGGAAGGATGGCCCGTAGCGGGGACAGTTCCCACGCTGGCTCTGCAAGTTGGCAAGACCCTAGGGAGCCAGGCCACTCCGCAGAGCACCTCAGCATGCGTGACGCGCTGCAGGCTGCTGCTCCAGGCATCATACCTTCTGTGATTCAAATGCACAGCGACTGCGCCCATCTTAAAGCCTGCTTATTGTGCCTGTGCCTGTCACCATTCTCCCCCAAAGCCAGCCAGGGAGGCTTCTCTGCCTGCCACAGCACCTGGGACCCCACACCTGCCTGGCTCTCCTCCTGTCCCCCCGACCCCCCTCCTGGTTTCTGTCCCTGTCTCAGATCTCTCCTCTGTCCACACTAGCCCCCTCAGGAAGTTCACTGGGTCCCATCAGGACACCGACAACGACTTGGGGGCCCTCAGTGCCGGACTCGCAACTCCAACAGCCCACTGGACAAGATGTGACCACCAGGAGGCCTCGTGGGTGTCTCAGCCTGAACTAAAGTCCCCACCTTCTCTGCACCCCAAGTCTTTCCCATCTCAGGTAACGTCCTTCCAGGCTGGGAAGCTGAGACCCCAAGAGGCGTCTGTAACTCCTCTTTCTGGCCCACAACAGACCCACAGAGACATACGCCGGCTCTGTCTTCCAAACTACATCTGAGGTGGGACCACTTCTCCCTTGCCACCTGGAAGGGAGAGCCACCTGCCATCTCCCTGGCTTCTCCTGACTTCGTAACTAGCCCCAGCTTCTGCCCCCCTGCCCTCGGTGCCACGCCACATGGCAGCCATCCCGCCCCCTCTGTGCAAAGCCCCCTTGGGTTCCCATGGCCCTCATAGAAAAAGTCCTCTGAGCAGGGGCAGCCCATCACTCACAGCCCCCCTGGGCTCTACTTCCGAAGTGCCCTCTGGACTGGGAGCCTTGCCCCAGACACCCCTCTCTCCTGCAGGCCTGTGCTCACTCACCCCCTTCTCAGGAGGTCTCCCCAGAACACCTGAAATGAAACCGCACCCTCCAACTCAGCACCTCCTCGCCAGCTCCCCAACTGTCTAGACACACTTGCTTTTCTGGGCTCTACGTCTCCTCCACCACTGGGACAGGGGCGTTGGTCTCCGCTGCTGCGTCCCTGACCGGCACAGGCCTGGCACACAGTAGGTGCATGGGATATTAGTGGCCCAGTGCATGCTCCTCTCCCCTGGGACTCCTGCCTCCCAGGAAAGGGAATGGCTGGTGGAAACCCTGCAAGGTGAGGGAGGGTAACAAACAGGTGGCCCAGACCCAGGTGCTCAGTGCGCGGAGCATCCTTCCCATTAACTCTTGCCACACATGATCACAGTAATCCTCCCTTAACCCCATGAAGAGGGTGTGATCACCATTTTACAGAAGTGGATACAGGCCCAGAGAGGTCAAGCGACTTGCCCAGGTCCACACAGCTGGGTCGGGGTGGCACTATGATGTGAATGCAAACCAGGGCTCTTTGGTTACAGGAACGGGCCCCCTCGTGGGGAGGTCTCCGGCTTCCCCGTCAGCTACAGCCTGCCGTGGGACCCCCATCCCTCGCCCTGGCCCCGTCGGGGTCGGAGGGTGGGCTGAGCAGCCAGCCCCGCGGCGATCGCGCCCTCCCCTCTCAGGCCCAGCCCCACCCGCCGCCGCCGCTGCATTCCTGGGGCCCGGAGGCCCGAGGCGGCCGCGGCGGCGTCGATGCGAAGCAGATGGCGGGCCAGGCCGGCCCCCGCCCCGGAGGCGGGGCTCGCAGCGGGGAGGGATCTGCGCGCCTCGGACCCGATTTCGGAAACCGCGCGCGGCCCCCTTACAGCCCCTTGTCTGCGACGACCGCCGAGACCCTGGACTCGGCCTCCCGAGGCCCTGCGGCCCAGGGCGCTCCGACCGGACCCAGGCCGGGGCCCGCGGCCGCCCCTCCAGCTGCCCGCCTGTGCGGCGCCCCCCAACGCAGGCCACGGCGCCCCCACGAGTGGAGATGCCCTTGATCTTGCCGCGGCCTCTGACCAGCCGACCATGTCCCCCGACCCCTGTTCCCACTCCTGGAGTCCTGTCCTCGGCACTTAGTCCTTCGCACAAGCTCCCAGGCCCGCCGACCTCCGGCAGGGCCTGTCCCCTGCCTGTCCCACACTGACTTCCCCAGCCGGCTCCCTGTGGCGCTCCACCTCTATGCGGCCCCTTCATGCTCCCAGGATCCCCACCCGGGAGTCGCCGGGGTTCCCACATCCTCCAGTTCCCTGCGCCTCTCATTGTCTTTTCGACTCCGGCTTCTGGTCCACTCTGAGCGCCGGCTCCGCGGAGCTCACCTTGGTCACCACCCCCTCCACTGCGCCCGCTCTTTCTAAGACACGAATCTGTCTTTCCAAGTCTCCCCTGCCCCAAGCCCTCTCCTGCTCCCACCTCCCGGGAGCGCCGCTCTTCTTCCTTAGACCCTCCTCGCTCCACTCCAGGCTCGAGTCGCACTAGTGCCCGGGCCTTCGCACATGCGGTTCCTTCTGCTTGAAATGCCCTTCCCCGGCTTCTCCCTAAGGCCTTCACAACTCAGCCCAAGAGTCCCTTTTTCCGGGTCTTTCCTGAAACCTCGGACACCGTGTGTCAACCCTCTTGGCGCCCACGTCACTCTGTTCTCCCCTCAGGTGACTCGTGGTCCAAGGTATCCTCGGATGCACTGTCGTGGCCCAAACTCGGCCTGGAACGGAGCCGGCGTCGGCGAGGACGTCCGAAGGGGCCCGCACGCTCGGCACAGGGAGGTCCCGGAGCCCCCCACCGACGCGGGCGCCAGCGTCCCCTCCCCAGAGCGTCCCTCTCGGCCCCCTCCTCCGCCAGGCCCAGCTCCTACCCAGGCGCGCGGCACACGTTGCGGCCGCGCGGGTTCAGCTCCTGGGGCGCCGCGGGGCCGGGCAGCAGCCAGAGCAGCAGCAGCAGCGGCGGCAGCAGCGGTGGCGGCGGCCCCCCGGCTCCCCGGCGCCGCGCCGGCCCGGCCCCCCGGGGCCCTGCGCCCTCCATGCGGCGCGGGGCAGGCGCGGGGCGGGCGCGGGTGCGGCCGCAGCGAGAACGGCCGGAAGCGGAGTGCGAGGCCGGGCGGGGGGCGGCAGGAGGGGCGCCGGGCCGGGCAGGAAATTCCACATCGGCTCCCTGATCCCGGGCCAGCCGCGGCCGGCCAGGCGGCAGCGCCCGCCCCGCGCGCCAGACCCCACCCTCCCGCCGCGCCGCCGCCCCTCCGCGCAGCCCCCGCCCCCCGCGCCGCTCGCAAACTTGGGGGCGAACTTGGAGGCGGCCCGCCGAGCGCTGGGGGAGGGAGGGGCCGCCGGGCCTGGCCGAGGAGTCCCCGTTTCCCGCGCCTTTCCCTTCGCTCCCGAGACACCGCCGGAGAAGCTGCCCCTGCGCGCCCTCTGCGAGGCCAGGCCCGGGGAGGGAAGAGGGGCTGGGAGACACGGACGCGCCGCCCCGAGCGCTCTCCGCTCTAGCACCTCGGAACCGGCCAGGGAGTCTCCGGGTGGCCCGCCGATGGCCCCGGTCAAGGCCGAAAGCCATCACTGTGGCCCCCAGAGTGCGAAGCCCTTGTGGCGCCGGAGTGCGCCCTCGGCTCCTCCCGCGCTCGGCGCACTCAGGGCGCGCAAGGCACGGACTGGGCAGGATGCTTGAGGCCTGTGGGTCTGGACCAGGGACCAGGGGAAGGGGTCCCCGTGGGCACGGCTGGGAGAGATGCCGTGGAAGCAGAATGGCCCCGCTGTGGACTCTGATAGAACGGGGAGGTAAAGGCAGAGGGAGGGCCTCTGGGACGGAAACCCTGCAGTCCTCACCAAGGGGCGAGGGGGGCTGGGAGGCTGGGAGATGGATTCTACTCAAGGCAGCTGTGGGATCTCCAGAGGGAAAGGTCCAGAAGATGAAGTCAGGCCTGGAGAAAGGGAACCCCTGCATCAGGCAGGGTGGGTGACAGCACAGAGCAGAGAGAAGAGGAGGTGCCACATGGAGAGTGCCAGGGCCTGGGGAGCCAGGGAGCAACAGGGGCTGGGAAGCAGCAGGGTGCTGGGCCCTCTGTCTAGCGCAGACCCAACCTCAGGCCCAAGCAGCAGGAAGGTTGGCAGAAGCACAAACACCCTGTGTGCAGCCAGGTCTCAGCAAGGATGAGTTTGTCCTTTGGGGACTCAAGAGCTGCCAGAGGGCCGGAGCAGGGAGAGGCATCTGTCTTCTTTGGGTCGCAGGCTGCAAGCAGCCGGGCAGATGCTCGCTGAGGAGGGTGGGCAGGCAGAATCTCTTGGGATGTGGCAGGCCAACAGCCATGAAGGGTGGGCTAGAGGAGGGGGCTTGGGACAGGAGCCACTGAAAGGCCCCCAAGGCCATGGGCATCACCAAGCTGGCGGGGCGGAGGGTGGGATGGGGAGAAACAGGGTGGGAGCTTGTGCCATGCTGGTGCAGGAAGGAGGTGGGGTGAGCAGGAAGGGAAGTTGAACCAGTGTGGTCACGAATGCAAACACTTCTTGGGGACAAGTAAACAGACCAACCACTTCTGGGCAGCTCAGCTGGGGCACAGCCCTGACCTCAGCAGTGCCCTCCCAGTGCTGGAGGCCCCTCCCACAGAGGCTCCCAATGGCTGTCACCAACAGAGGCCAGCAGAGGTCCCAGTGGCATAGTGTCTGTCCCAGCCCAGCTCCCAGCTTTAGAAGCACTGACCCCCTGGGCTGGAGGGGACACTCACCTCAGCTGGCCCAAGTGCATGAACAGGCTCCTCAAACTCCGCCACCTTCTTTCCCCTTCCCCTGGAACTCCCCACCCCACCCCTACAGGAAGGGCACCACCTGGATGATGTCCCACCACTAGGACCTCCGAAATGTCTCAAATCTCTACCCACCCCCGTCTGTGTGCCACTCAGGCCTTTCCAACCTCACACTTGGCTGCCCCCACTGCCCTCAGGAACAGGACCATCCCAGCCGCATCTCACTCAGACCCATGGCCCCGTGGACATGTCCCATCCCTCAAGGTGGATAACAACGTTGGGTGCCACAGGCGGGCCCTCGTCTGTCCCAGCCACCGGCACAGCCCTAGTGGGAGACTGAGAAGCGTGGGGGAATAGAAGGGTCATGCACGTGGTGCCAGGTGTGCCCAGGAAGGGTGGGTCCACGGGCCCCCAGACGACTGACCCCAGGAGGCAAACCGCAGGAGCCAAGCCCTGCTGCTAGTTCTGGCCGGGATGGCTGCCTGAGGGAGGTGGACCTGAAGGGTGAGAATTTTGCATGACAGCAGGGCCTGAGAGCCAGCCATGGTGGAGCGCCTGGCTGGGGTGCCTCAGCCCAGGGGCAGGAGGTGGTGTGGCCGCGCAAGCCGGGCTGGGGCCGAGGCTGTGCCCGGGTCCCTGGTCCCTATTCGGGCTGTGCAGGACCTCAGAGGGCCCTTCCCGCTCCCTGCAGACCAGAGGGCTCCAGCAAGCCTGTGGCTGTGCTTGCGGGGGGAGACGGTGCCAGCCAGCTCGGGACATACTGCAGAGAGTGGTGGGGCATTTCTGGTCCTCCTCCCTTCCAGAAACCTTTGGGGTCTGCAGGAACTAGCAGCAGAGACACAGGAAGTGCTGGGCCTGAGACCCAGAGTGGGGTCCCTACTCTGAGCCCCTGTTCTCACAGGGGAGATGACACTGGAAGGTGTGCCCATGCTGCCCCCCTGGAACTGACCCACCGAGGGTTGACAATGGCCTGCTGCCTGAGGTGATGACGCATTTCCTCAGGGGTACCTGGGACAGTGAGGAAGGTCACACACACACGGTTGAGAGGAACATAACTCCCAGGGCCTCACCTCCACCCCCAAGGTCCCTGGAGTATCCAGATGAGAAAGCCCAGAGCGATAATGGCCTGCCCTCCCCATCCCGTCCTCCCATCAAGGAGCACAACTGCCCCTGCCCTCCTCCCTTCCATGACAGGGTGCCAACGAAAAGACTGGATTGTCCCCACACCCCACCCAGTCACCTAGGGGAGGACGGGGCCTCAGAAAGTCCCAGCCCTGTTTGTGGGGTGACTCCCTGCAGGAAGCCCACAGGGTGAGTCTGCGGGTGCAGACCCCACGGCAGACAGGAGAGGCAGGTGTTCAGGTGGAGGGAAGCTTCGTGCAGCCTGGCTGTGTGGTGAGGTTGGTGTGGACCCCCTGCCCATCCGTGTGGGGCGCAGGCTACATATGGTGGCCCCAAGAGTGTGGGAAAAGCACTGGTCAAGGTGGACAGGATAGGGTCCCATCTGCTGTGCCAGCGTGGGCCTTGAGACAGGTGCCTAAGGGTCACCTGAGCCTGCAGGAAATGCAGGTCAGAGGGCACAGGCAGCAGGGCCACCCCTCCCTCTAGGCCTGTGTCTCATCACGCCCCTCCCCTGACACCATCTCCCCCCGCTGGATGCCAAGGCTCTCAGTCCCTGACCCTCAGGCTGGCGCTTTACTTGGGGCCAAGAAATTTCTAACCAGAGCTGAACTGAAATTCAACAGCTGCCCTGGTTAGGGGAAGAGTTCCACACCAGAGCAGACGCTCAAGCAGGCTGGGTGACCCTGTCACCAGACCTGGTGGCTTCTAGGTCTCCTGGTGACTTGGGGAGTTTACTGTTCTTTGCTCCCGGGCAGGGTCGTGGCCTCCCGGTACCATTCAGCCCTGGCCTTGCCTCCTGTACCACAGCCTGTCCTCCAAGGCAGCTGCGACCCCAGAAACCTGCACTTCCTGGGGACCTGCCGTGTAGAAAGCAACTGAGGCCATGGCCACAGGAAAACAGTTAACACTTTTTGTAAGATGCTTTATTTCATTTATCAAGAACATGGGGTCAGAAAAACCCAGCGGTAGGGGGTCTCTTTATCACTTGAACCCCGTTCCAGGCAAGTTTATGTATCTCTGCTCCCTCGCTGCCCCCGGGGAGCTCTCAATCTTTCAAGCCCCAGCTGCTCACCCAGCCCCACCCCATTCATAAAGGGGGTGTGACCTGCCTCAGGCCCCCCCAGCCAGGGCTGCCAGTCCCAAGGTCCCTTTAGGGAAGGGACCTCTTCAGCCCTGCAGACACCAGATCCTGGGAGGGAGCCAGCTGGTGACATGTGAGCCCTCTAGCGCTCACTAAGCAGGGTGGGCCTGGTCAACTCCTTCAAGGACCAAAGCCTTTCAGGAGCATTTCCCACTGTAACGTAATCCCCGCCACAATCTGCCTGGGCCCTGCAGACACCCCGGCAGGCTAGCAGAGGGGCTGGTGAGAAGAAGGGGGGAAGGGGCCAGCCAGCCGTGAGTGCCAGGGGCAGGACCCCTGCCCCGAAGTAAAGTGCTCCGGCCTAGGCTACGTGGGCTTCACGGCCCTGGCAGCCCCACCACCCTTCCCTCTGACACCAGGCACTGGGAGCCTAGTCCTCGCTGGAGTTGTCAAACTCCTCCCAGTCAGACACACTCATCACCTCGGAGGCGAAGTCTGGGTCGGCCTGGCTGCGGTCGGGGGTCCCGCGGGGTGGCTCGAGCAGCAGGGAGCGGGGCAGGGTGAGCACGCAGGCTGCCAGGCCTGAGATGGAGTTGTCCAGCTGGGGCCCCTCTTCCCAACAGTCCTTCTCGACGTCGTAGATGTGCACGTAGCCTGTGCGGCTGCCACGGTTGTGAGAGCGGCCGCCCAGCACGTAGATCCTGTTGTCCAGCACCGCAATGCCAGGCTCACCATGCCCAGCTGGGAGTGGGCAGACAGACGACCATTGCCCGGACGTGCAGCTGTAGCAGGCCACCTGCAAAGCCAAGGCCAGAGTAAAGCCCGGCACCTGCTGGGAAGGGGCTGCCAGCCACCACCCGCCCGGCAGCCAGATGACCAGGGTGGCCTTGGTCCCCCGCCACTCTCTGATAGGCTGCCCCCAACCACCCCACGCCAGAAGCACAGTGCAGGGCTAGCTTGGAACTCCTTGCCCATGGGCCGGGCTGATGCTCTGTGTTACCCAGAGATGAACAGGTCTGCAGCAGACCAGCCTCTGGCCCCCATGTCCCCCCCATCAGCACGAGGCAATTGCCATGCTCTGGGGGT